TGATCGGGTCCTTCTCTTTTGGTTTATTTTTGAGGCCTTCATTTCGTTTGAATTTTCTCCCTCGGTAAGGTCTCATCATTTTTCTAAATCGTTTGGCAAACAATGCCATTTCCTCATCATCATCATCTTCATCCGAATCACTCTCATCGTTTGTGGATTTGAAAGCAACTCCAATGTTTTTCTTCTTCTCCTTGTCCTTTGGTGTCTCTTCAATCTTATCAAGGTCCACCTCATCTTCAAGCATCATTTCATGAGTAAGGAGTGAACCGATTAGCTCTTCAAGAGTTAAGGATGTTAGGTCCTTAGACTCGATGATTGCCATCTTCTTTGATTGCCATGATTTTGGAAGGGAGTAGACTAACTTCCTCACAAGTTTTTCATTTGAAATGATCTCTCCATATGACTTGAGACTATTGACAATCGTTGAAAATCTATCCGTCATAGCTTTAATATCTTCATTTGGTTTCATCCTGAAATTTTCATAGCTATGCGTTAGAATACTAATTTTAGATTTCTTTACCTCATCGGTACCTTCATGAGTGACTTGAAGTTTGTCCCATATTTCTTTGGCGGTTGTACAAGATGAAACTCTTACGTATTCATCTGGTCCAAGAGCACAAAATATGATATGGATGGCTTTGGAGTTGAGCTTGAACATTTTTGTCTCTCCTCCACTCCACAATCTTAGATGAGTGAGAGGCTTGATGTATCTTTCTTCTACGACATTCCATGCTCCCATATCACTTGCTTGAATGAAGTACATCATCATATTTTTCTAATAGGCATAGTTAGCCCCATTGAAGAAAAGAGGCTTGTTGACGGGCATCGAATCGACACTAGAGTCGATGTTTGAAGTAGAGGCCATTGATGACTTTGATTATCGATGTAACTCTTCCCGAATCGAATCAAGAGGCGATTAAACCTTCAAATGAGTTAGGCTCTGATACCAATTGTTGAGTTAATCGATTGAAGAATATGGCCAAGAGGGGGGTGAATTGGCAATTAAAATTTTGGTGGAAGCTTTTGCAGAAAATTGAAAGAAATTTGCACAACGATTTAGAGTGGTTCAACTTTCTCAACCAAAGTCTACGTCCACTACCTTAGCTATCCACACTAAGGATTTTCCACAAATTTACTAATTTGTCTTTCTTTTGAGGACAAAGAGTAACCTTACAAACCCTCAAGAATTATACCCCAAATTCTTGAGAACATTCTCTCCCAAAGAGAACAATACAAATTTGCAAACTTACAAGGAAATCATCACAAGGTAGATTGTTTGCACAATTCTAGAACAAAGAAAAGAACACTCAAGAATGAATACAATTGAGCACAATAAGTGTTCTTGAAAGCAAAATGAATATTGAATGAAAGATAGGCTTGAAATGCTCAAACTTGAAGTTTGATGCTTTCTCTTTGATTCTCTCTTGATTCTAGTTGCTTGATGTTTCTTCTTATTGATCAATGGCTTCTAAGCTTGCTTAAATACACCTTGAATCACTTCTGGACGTTGGGGATCATTAATGAAGTTTTTGGAGCCGTTTAAGTGTGAAAACAATTAATATTTCTGCTTGGAGCGTGGGGGGAATCGGTACCCCTAATGGGGAATCGGTTCCCTAGGTGTAAAATTCAAATATTTCGACCGTTAAACAGTGGGGGGGAATCGGTACCCCCTGGGGGGAATCAGTTCCCTCCGAGCATACTGGAATTCTCGGAGCCAAACCATTCAGGGGGAATCGGTACTCCCTTGGGGGTAATCGGTTCCCTCTGAGCAATCTAGAATTTTTGGCTTTGAAATGGTTCGAAATATTTTGTAAAAACGTTTTGAAATTATTTTAAGATTAAAACTTAATTTTACACTTAAGTAAGGATTTAAAATGAACTTTGAAATACTTTGAGTAATATTTTGATATTCGATTTAATATATCGAATATGCTTAGAAAAATTATTTTCAAAATCAAAATTCTTTTAATTTAATTTGTTATATAGAAACATCAAAATGTTTTCAACACTTTTTAATTGAGGGTAAATGTGGTTTTAACTGAAATTGAATTGCTAATTTTCGTTAGGAATCGTCTTTCTTTTTCTTTATTAAAAGGGATCAAATAAAAAAATTATACCTCTAGTTTCATTTAATGTATAATTTAATATATCAATTTAGATTTACTGTAATTAAATGCTTAAAAAATTATTTTTTATTTAATTTATTGTTCGGTCAAATCAAATAAAGTGGTGTAGAAATCGATTTATGAAAATGATTCTTCGAATTTAATTTGTTTCACTCAAATATTCGAATTCAAATAAATTATTTTATTTAAAACATATAATATATATTTTATCATACTATAACAATTAATTACTGAATATAAAATTTTAGTTCTAATTCAAATAAATACATAAAATTATAATAATTATAATCTATATTAATCTATTACCTATATTTACGCTCTATATAAAACCAAAATCTAGTAAAATTTTAAACAAAGGAAATTTCATTTTATAATTTATTATGCAACTAAATTGATATTAAAAATAATATTTTAATATATGGATGAGTCTACAGCGCACGTCACACACCGATATGTATTAGTATAAATTTATAAATAGTCATTAAACTATGATAAAATGATCTTTTTGGTCTTTTAACTTTTAAAAAATTATAAAATGAATATTAAATTTTAGATTTCGTTAAAAAGAAGTATTGACACTTGACTTTCGTTAAGAGCTAATGTGGCGTATTAAATAAATAAAAAAAATCTCATTTGCTTCTTCAATTGTGACTAAAATTTTGTTTTTGATATTTTTCAATAATTTTAAGTAATAATTTCAAAAAAAATTAGAAAAATATTTTTAAATATATGAATTTTCAAAATTTATTTTTGAAATTATAAATATATTTTTAAAATTATATTTAAAACCACTAAAAAGTTAAAGAGTTAAATCACTTGTTTAATAAAAAAAAGATTTCATTTTTATAACCAAAGTTATTGGATTTCAAAAATTATAAATTATAAATTTTCAAATGTAACCACAATTAAATAAAAAATTAATTATAATTTTTTTTGTGAATTAATAAATTCATATTTTTTAAAAAATAATTATAATTTTATGAATTAAAAAACTAATTATAAAGTTATAATTTAAAAAAAATACTTTTATAATTTTAAAAATGAATCATGAATATATATATATATATATATATATATATATAATTTTTTAAGAATTATTTTTTCAAAATATTGAAAAATATTCATTGTGTAATACAATTGAGAGATTGATTGAATGAGATATTATGTAACTTTTAAAGTTCAATGTTCAAAATGAGTATTTTCGTATAATTTAATGACCATTTAAAAAGTTTACCTTTAAAATTATTTTTATATTTCTGTACATGGCATGCATTGTAGAATTTTCCATAATTATAACACAACCCGTTACCAAGTACATAAATTAACTATTTTAATGGTGTAATAATTATAATTACTATTGATTAATTAAAGGAAACAGTTGCTTGTAAAAGGAAACTAAATTTTTTTCAAAGCTATAAGCTGCTTTAGAATTATATCGGTTGTAATAAGTTAAAATATTAAAAAAAAATATTTAAACTTCATCATTTTATTTAAATAAATCTTTATATTTTTATACTAATATGATTTGATATTTTATTTAAAATAAAAGAATAAGTTCATATTTAATTACAAATTAAAAAGGTTAGGCTAATGATTTATTTGAACTGTTTAAAATTTTAATAATAAAGTAATAAAGTTCGTTTTTGTATTATTAACTTAGTGATTATAAAATAACTTGCAAACATAGATGATATAAACAAAGTTGGAGATGAAAGCACGTTTTGCCCATGACGCTATTATTTCTTCATTGTTATTTTGTTGTGTTAATTGCATCCCATGGCCTTCAATTATGACTCCTATTCTGAAATGGTGTTAGATTTTTAAATATTCTCATTTCATCATTAAACTGTGACTATCATTCTAAATTAATCCTCATACTTTTGAACATTTTAGTTTCATTCCCAAACTAGATATTCATTCTAAATTGGTCCCCAAACTTTTGGAACATTTCAATTTTATCCTAATTTATATGTATATATTAATTGCATCCATTGTTAACAAAATCATTAAGCCAAGTTATATTATTATATGTTTTAAAAAATAAAATTTAGGTTAAATTATGATTGAAACTAATTATATATTTGGATGAACTTGGAAGATTCAAAAGTTTAGGGATCAATTTAGAATAAGAGTCCTAGTTTAGGGATGAAATTGGATTTTTCAAAATTTTAAGGACTAATTTAAAATATGAATAGTAGTTTAAGAATGAAATTGAAATGTTTAAAAATTTAAGAACCAATTTAAAATAGGATCATAGTTTAGGGACACATGACGTAATTAACTCTATTTTATTTTAATCGAATGAAACTATTAAGGACAAAAATAGAGGTTTGAATAAATAAATAAATAAAAAAAAAACAATATATTTATTGGGTTAATTTTCAGGTATAATATTCATTTTAATTTAATTATGAAAATATCACTCGAATAATATTATTTAGAAAAATAATATCCTTATTGATCCCGTATGTTGTATGTATATCAATATTGATCGAAATTGCTCATCTATTGTAATAATCTCAATTGTTGACTTGGTCACTGAAATCATTATTTATAATTTTGTCAATTTCATTCAGTGATCAAATTGTTAATCGGATATCCCCATAATTATTAGTATTTATAGGTCATCATCTATCATCGTATAATTCATACGTGTCAATGAATCATTCTACTCATATTAATATACGAAATGAAGAGTTATGAAACGGATATCTTATCACATAGGGCAAAGAAATTGAACATACCTTTGTCCTACATGACTGAAAAGGGTATTGTTTATCTTCATAATATTGTTCCAATTTTATTTTACAATGAGGCATGAATTGATTACATAGGATATTTGACCGAATTCAAGGATGTGCCAATGTATCATCTCCATAAAGACGCTTCCCAACAACATTAATATAATGTTTCCCCATACATCAATATCATGTGCCAATGTATCATCTCCATAAAGACGCTTCCCAACAACATTAAATCACCAACTGAGAACCAAACAATCCAACAAAAACAGATTTACTTTTAGAAGTGCAATATAATGTTTACATAGGATATTTAGACCGAATTCAAGGATTCTTCATCTTAATCCTAAGCTTCCTGGCAATCTGTGTTGCATTTGGATGAACCGGTCGCTTGTTGGCATCACACTGTTCCACCTCTACCCAATTAATAACCTTGAGTATCAGAGACTGAGGCACTTTCTTGGCCTCCCCATCGCCTTGGGGTTTCTTCATACCATTGTGCAAAGCTTTCTCCAGGAAGTTCATGAACCAATTCCCTGCTTCCGCTTCGATTTGCTTCCCCAATTTTATTGTACTGCTTAAACTGCTCGATACAGGCTTGTTTTCGTCGTTCTCGGCAGCCGATGATTCGATGGACAGTTTCCTGAGTGGGGTTGATGGAACTTTGGAATTTGACCTTAGGAGCCTATTTTGCTCACTTCTCTCGGGGAACCCTGCGATTGACTTGTACAATGCAGCTCGCCTTTTGCTTTGGTCCATCGAATTGTGCGCAATTTCATTCAAGATTGCCGGTTCATCTTCTCCTCTTTTTTCAGCTTTTGTGGCTTGTAATGTTCCATTAGTTGCCGAAGTAGCTGCTTGGACCGACACTATCTCACTCAGGGCCTGCACAATTTGGGCGTGAAATTCCAGAAAGTGGTCGAAGCATGCGGCCGGAGCTTCTGGTTTTGCTGATTTGCTTAAATTGGAAAACATCCTAAGCACACAACCAGACAAAGTATATGTCAATTAGCAAAGCATAAAAACAAAAGGGAAAACACAAAAATAAAGACATTTTTTTATTACTTGAGAGAGCGAACTAAACTATCTGTGGCAGTGACAACTCTCAGTGCTTGAAGAGCAATCTTTTGAGCCGTTTCTCGTTGCTGAACAGCTTCCTGTTGAACCACAAAAAGTCCGTTAACAGTAAACCCATGACGAAATCTACAATGGTTTACTTAAACTCACCTTGCCCAACATGCCAAGTTTCCCAGGTAAAATCATGGGTAGAGTTTTGTTGTTATCAATGGAAGAATCGTTATAAAGTTGAGATTCTTCTTGTTGGGTAGTAAAACTCGAGTTATTTATCGAAGCCGAGGCCACCCTTCCACGCTTTAAACTTGGTGGTGGGGTTGAACTTTTCTTTTCCTGCAATGGCTGAAAATGGACTTGAATCATTAAGACAGAAACACCATTGAAAGTTCATATGAAGTAAAACATAGCAGATTGTACCTACAGCTGAGTTGAGAGAACAAACTGGGATCCTAGGCTCTCGGTCGCTGACACTTTTGCTCCTCGGAAACTTCGACGCCGAAGAAGGTGCAGCACAGCTTTTTCTAAGCAAAGCTGGACTTTCTCCTTTAGTATCCATCATTTTAGCCAACAATCCCCCACCATAAGAGCACCTTACACCACCAGCTCTAACGTTCCCATCTTTCGCACCTCTTCTAATCATCGGTGACATCAACGGAGTTCTCCGCTCTTTCACCGGAGTACACTGATCAAAATCCAACGGCACCGGCTTTAACACCAAAGGAGAAGAGATCTCATCAGTTCCATTAGGACCTTTCCCCCAAGAGCCTCTTCTATGCAACTGAGTATCTTGTTTCTGCTCACTTTTCTCCCCTCTCTTTCTTAAACCCATTAAAGGCTCCGGTGTCCCAACTAAGGGATGCCTCCCAGGGAGAGGCTTTGCACCTTTAACAACGGGAACAGGGGAGCCAGGCTCCAATCTATCAACATAAATGAACTGCCCAAGTTGCATCTTGTTGCTAAGAACAAAATCGTCTTGGTCCGAAGGAAGACTAACGTAAATCGAATGCGAAGAGTCCGAGACTTTGATGTAAAACCCATGTGTAGGCCAAAGATTCTTCTCGTCGAGATCAGCCGGCACGATATCAGTGACCTGCAAAAGCGAGCTCCTGTGTTCACTCGTTGGCTTGACTCCGGTGTTCATCCCATTGAGTAGTTTCAGAAGAATCCCAGGAGCCAATGTAGCCATAATTTCGTGAACTTTGATCTGAAAGAATCGAGAAGATATTTTCAAGGCATAAAAGAAGTGATGAATGAAAGAAAGGGAGATAGGTTTTCGGTAGGACAAGACGTTAGCAACGGAAAGTTTTGAGTTTTTGAGGTAGCAAAGGTTTTTTAAATTTTGGAATTTTGGAACGTTGGGGCAACGGTCACAAGGTCATAATGATTTTTAGTTTATACAAATTTGTAGGGGGGGGGGGAATACGTAACTACGTTTGTTTCCGGTTGCCACCTGCTACGCTTAACTTTAGAAACGATGTCGTTTCATTAACTCGTAAATGGGCCCTCAGTCTAATTTTGGATTCTTATATGATTTGACATGAATTGTAGTGACTAGGATATTTGTGTTTTTAATTAGTTGAATTTATAAATTTATTAAAAAATATTTTTCATTTGAAAAAAGCTTGGCAAATTCAGAAGTTGTATGGATCGAAAGACTGCACGTTATAAGCCATCGCAACATTTTAATGAAATTTGGTTCCAACTCTAATCTCATGATTGAAAGTTTGAAACCCATATATTTCAATCAAAATATCAATTTCTTACGACATGCAAGAAACTTCAGGTGATAAAAAAAATCTTATTACACAACACGGTGGCAAGAGACAACACACAACTTCCCTTTTCAGGGTTCAATATTATGTTTGATTTGAAACAAGCAGAGCATTCCGTAGATGAAGGTCCAAGCAACATTGACGACAAACAAACATAGCCGATGCTATAGAGGAGTTGCAAATCCTGTCACAGAATAAGCATATCGGTCAGTAACTTAGACCCCAAGAACCACATCACTCAAGCTGTCATGCTATAAGCTTATTATGGAAACTAATGATAGATACACTTCAAAATGAAATGCTTATCATTAAAACCGATAACGATGTCTCTTGCATGCACCGTTTATCGAGGTTAATAAAAACCACCACTTAAGCGTGAAATATATATACATGCGTGTGTGTATTTGAAAGAACCAAATTATTTTCTTTACTATAGGTACTAAAAATGCTGTGTAGCAAAACCCTATATTGCAAACCTGAAGACAAGCAAAGAAATTATTTAGAAAAAAGAATGCATAAATATGAGTCTGGAAGAGCTTAAATATGGAATGACGTCAACATAATTTGAAAACAAAGTGTTGTAGTACCACGATATTAAAGAACATTCACTCTCGAAGACTTCCAAAGGAGATGCAATAAATCTAAGAGAAAAAGGTATAAGCTTGTGTGGCACAAAAAAGACATCGGTGAAGTTTCTTTGCTACTAAAATGGTTGACAGCAACATAGAACGCTAGTGACAACCATTACATTGGATGAATCAAAGTGGACTTCCGAACTCCAAACTGGAATCGTTTTACAATAATTTTATAATCAAAGGTTGAGCTTAAATTGCTTAAACGTGAACCGTATAATAGGTACAGGGTTAGTGGTTTCAGCTACAATAGATATAAAACAATCTGAGAATAAATGGATCTTAAATCAAATAAATTTTGGAAAACATTCAAAGTAACTAGTAGAAAATAAGGCAACAAGATTCATTGATATTCTCCAACCCCATCAACCACGCTCTTTTATCCTTATAAGTTCCCCGCTCTAATAGCTTACCAGGATAAAGAAACATATCAAAGTTTTATCGAGAACAGGCCCCTGAGCCACGAATTACACCATTCCCCAATCCAGCAATAATTTCACAAATAAACATGAAGCATACTTTGTCCTACAATCGAATACTCTCTACCCAAATAATGGAAAACAAGAACAGGCTGGGTACGAAGATGTTCATTATATCGATCAACCCGAATAGCTTCTAGTTCCATTGTACCTATAACACCAAATACCTTCCCAAGCTATTTACCCATCAAAGGACAAACTATCTTAAAACACAAAAGCACATCTTCTCCCCTCAAAAAGAGAAAGACACAAATAATGCAGCAACGAATAGATATTTCAGACAATACTACACTGCTATAATGTAACCCAAAGCATTACAATAAGCTAAAGAAGAATATAAAAACAAAAGGGGGCATCGTCGAGCAGAAATTACCTTCTGACAAACACCCCCATCTTTGATTATGCAAAGACAACAACGAAGTGAACAAAGCAGAAGCCGTAGCACTGTGCAATGGAATCAAAGTTACTGCAACACCCAATTCCACTGGGAGCCTATAAAACAGAAACAGCAAGCAAACTCTTATTCAGAACTTAGAACACAACAGAGAAATACCCATAACATTTTATAACAAAGAAATGAAACAGTAGCTTGGAAAATGGAGGCAAAACCTGGAATAAGTGAGATTGCGGAGAGAGAATCGAGAAGCAGATATTTTGCTAGGAGAGAAAAGGCCAGCAAGGCCATTATTTGCAGGTCTTGAGGACGGTAAATGGGTCAAAATGGTCTTGGCCGAAGCGCACGAGAATCCTAGGGTTCTTCTTCCACAAGTAGCCGCCATGTTTCCCTTGGGTTCTCAAAAACCCTGAAGCCTGAACCCAGATATATTCTTCTTTGTTTTAGTTTGATGAAGAGAGAGTTGTTTTTGGGCTGGATCCACATGCCCAGAAGGGCTATGTGTCCATTTAATTTAGAACTTAAAGGTCCTTGTCTTTGAGCTAAAAAATATTTACTTTTAAAAAGTAATTTACAAGTAAATATTTGATTGAAAATTTAAATTTATTTTTTCTATTACATTATAATATAAAAATTATTTTTAAAATATTTTTAGTATCATCCTCTCCATGTGGTATTATTCTCAATCACGTGTCGAAGTCTCAATCATATAAAATCTAAGAATAATTTGATGATGTATGATACAATTATGTCTTTGCATAATTTTTGTAACATCCCGAAATCCGGATCAGTGACTAAAATGATAATTTTAGAAATTTGGGGATCAATTTAGCAAAATTGATAGTTCAAGGATTTAAATAGGAATATTTTATTATTGGATAAAAGGGTAAATATGAGATGATTATAAGGGTATTATGGTAATTTAGCTTGGACGATATTTTATCTCCCTTATTTAGGGAGATAACACGTGTGAAAGAGAAAAAAGCTTCAGAAGCTTATCTTCTTTCTTTCTTCTTCTTCCTCTCGTGGCTCCAGCTCCCAAAGGTAAGATGATTTAATTGGTTAATTTCTGGAATTTATAGGTTGGGCTGGAATAATTAGGTGTTGTAAACACTAATTTTTCGTTTATTATTATTATTATCATTATTTATTATTATTATTGTTATTAATATTATTAAATATTACAAAGCCCAATTACAAGAACTCAGGCCCAGTTTGCAAGCCTAAACAATGTGGCCCAGATATAGAAGCCCAATATAAACCCTAAAACCCAACTAGGGTTTCTCATCTCATGCCCCAGCCGCCATTGCTCACAGCCGTTAGATCTGGCCAAAATCCAACGGTCCTGATGCTTCCAGACGAAAACCCTAGGGTATGATACCCTAGGGCAACCACACGGCGCCGCCTCAGCTATCTCCAAGCTTCCAACCGTCGCTTCACTGCCAGGTGGTCCAATGCCCCACTGTCAACGCCTCCACCGCCATTGTCGACACACCAGTACCACGACGACACCAACAGAAGACTCCAGAAGCACCTCGTTTCTGCCCCACGTTGAAACCCTATGGTGAGTCACCACCATAGTTCGGTGACTCACCTAGGGTCACCATTTGAGACCGGTCCGAGAGCCACACCGTTGATGGCTATAAAAGCCATCGACCATACCTGCAACAGAAAAAAAAAAGAAAAAAAGAACCGGAGAGAACAAAAAAAAATAGAGAGGGCAACCTGGGAAACAGAGAAACACGAGAGCAAACAACAACATATACAACAACAACAACCAGCCGAGAAAAAGAAAAAAACTTACCTTGCTGGTGAATACCAAACGTCGCCGGAGGACCGAAAAACCGAAGGTAGTTTTTTAGATCTACGTAAATCCGGGACCTTTTAAGGGAAACAGAGGGCAGAAACAGTTTTGGGTAGTGCCGATATATCCTTTGAGGTTTTTTTTTATTTTCCGGCCACCAGAGACGGTGGCCGGCGGTGGTAGTCGGCGCCGGAGTACGACTGCCGAAATTCCCTCAAATGAGGGAATTGAAGAGAGAACCGAGAGAGAATTCTCTCAGTTAGAGAGAAGAGAAACGAGAGAATGAGGCCGCTGGCCCTTCGGGCCAGCTATGAAGGGGTATATATATCCCTTCCCGAACGACGTCGTTTTGGGAAGGGGTATATGCGTAATTTACATGTATGGCTAAACCCTTTCCGTAGCCATCCGAGTTTTGTAATTATTCATTTTAGTCACTGAAACTAACTTCTGAATGTTCTAATTTAGTCTTCGAATTTTATTTTATTATGTTTTAATCCTTACCAGTATTAAATAATATATTTATGATAAATATCACATTTAGTCCCTAATACTTTTAATATTTCTATTTTAATCACTGATTAAATAAATAATGGTTAATTACACTACTAGTATTTATATTTTATGATAATTCTAACCATGTCTCTTAAATATTTATATTTTATAATTTGATCATTAAATTTTATATAATTTTAATTTTAACCATAAGTTTTATTATTTTTACATTTTTAAGTTCATATATTTATGAATATGATCCATTAGTTTTTAATATTATTACTTTTAATTTCTTTCATTTTAATTATTATTATTTTATTTTATTATTACGTTTAATATATGTTTAAATTATTATCTTCATGATTATTTTATTATTATTAAGTTATATAAATATATTTATATAATTTATTTATTTATTCTATTTGTTTATTAAATAAAAATCCTATTTATAAATTTAATTTTATAAATTACTTTTAAGAAAAATAAACATATTTTGATATATATTTATTTTTTAATATCTAAGAAAAAAGATGTCTTAAAATATCTAGAAGTCATTTTCTGATATTCTTAAATAAATAAATGTCCTATTTTTATAAATCATATATTAATTATTTTTAGATAAATGTTTTATTAACATTTATTTATTTATTAATATTAAGAAAAGAGCTGTCTTAAAGCAACTAGAAGCTATTTTCTGATATTTCTAACTAAATAAATATCTTATTTATAAAAATAAAGGTATATATTAATATATTTTCTTAAAATTATAGTAATAAATTTAAATTAAATAGAATTATAAATTAAATATATCTTTGAATTTTTTCTAATAATAGAGACAATTTATAATTAATAAAGTACCAATTTTGGGCGTTGTAGGGGTGCTAATCTTTCCCTAAACGTAACCGACCACGAATCCTTTTTTATTATTAAAAAGAACGAATTTTTGGTTAAAACGCAGATCAGTTTATCTTTTAATCGATGTTTTGTTAAAAACTCTTTTAAAAGATGATTTTTAGGTATTCGACCTACCTGACCCAAAAGGCCGATGGCGACTCCCAAAATATTTTGAAAACCATTTATTCACATCACTTTTCCCGCCGAGTAAAAAAAATTCGTGCCCGGACGAAAACCGGTTACGACAGCTTGGCGACTCCGCTGGGGACAGTCAAACTTTAAAATCAATTATAAATTGTCTCTATTAATTAAAAATTAAAAATTTATATATTTAATTTTTAATTCTTTCTTTTCAAATTTTTTATATATACTTATTATTTTCATAATATTTATATGTATATTATTTTATTAATATTTTATTTTATTTTTCAAGTATTTTATTTCATTATTTGTCTATTAGAGGTTTGATTATTTCTCCTCACACACAACACTTGCATTGCATAACATAAAGCTCTATAATTGAGTTTGTCCCTTTTAAGTGGGAGTGAAAGCGACGTCTTCGTGAGAATTTATTCTTCGTGTCAGACCTAGCAAGTAACTTTCGGGGTTCATATGCTCTATATCTTCGTGAGAATTTATTCTCCGTGTCAGGTATAGAGAAATGTGTCCCCTCGAATTGAACTCGATCCGCTTAAATCTGTAATGGACTAGGATTGAGGGTTTGACAGCCCAAAGGGGAATCAACAAGGACAGTTCGAGTACTTTTACTCCTAGAACTAAAAAACCCTGCATATAATAAACCCTAGAAATTCACCTAATCTAAGATAGTACTGAACCTCTGTTCATAGGTGTACACAAAGGAGAAATAAGCTCCAGACTTTAATTTATTTCCTTTTCTTTTTCCTGAATAAATGCATGCAAACTAGAAATCATGCGGTTAAGTTAATTTTTTCAAACAAAGCATAGAACTAGAAAGCATGAGGTTAAGATTTATACCTTGATATATAGATTTTTTTTCCATTAGTTGGTACTAACTATTCTATTTTTTCTTATTTTTCATGCATGTTACATTGCTCTAATATGTTCACATTGATTTCTTTTGTTTACATTGCATGATCATGGCATAACCAAAAGGTGTTTACTTGAAAGACTGTTCATCATATTGGAAAGAAATCGTAAATGGACAAAAAGTTCTATGATCAAACAAAATATGATGCGGCCAAGAAAAGATATCCTGAGGGAACTCTAAAGATAGAGAAGAGTTATGCACCCAAAGATCGTATGCCCATTGAAGAGCAAAAGGAGATACGAGAAATAAGAGAGCAGATGTCCAAGATGATGGATAGAATATCTGTTTTGGCAAAAAAAGAAGAGATTCCTGCGCAGAAAGAGAGAAAGCTTAATGAAGATAATCATGCAATTTCATATATGCAAGGGACTTCTGATCCTAACCAATTTGAGAAGTTGCAGACAGTCATCATTCGTATTCACAAATCGTCTGGAGATACCAAAGAAATGGTGACCACTGTAAAAGCTCCCAAAGAAGAGAAGAAATCATGTAACTTGAAATCATCGAAGTCTAGTATGCACCCAGCATCTAAAACTCAGGTTCAATCCAAGACAAAAGGCGGTTCTCATGTTGATGCTATACCTATATCATATAAAGAGTTGTATAAAAAGTTACTTGAAGCACAAGAAGTAGCTTCATATTACATAAAACCATTCCAACATCCGTATCCAAATTGGTATAACATCAACGTTCATTGTGAATATCATGCCGGAGCTCAAGGACATACCATCGAGAATTGCTTTGCCTTCAAACGTCGAGTCCAAAGTCTTTTGGATCATGGAACCTTACAATTTATGGTAAATGATCGACCTAGTTTGGTAACCGAGGGTCCTGCTAGATTAATACCAAAAGTCTACAAAGGTAAGAATATCAGTAGGGGCGCCCAGAGAGAAGAAGATTTGCTGAGGTTTGAAGCTCAAATACGTCATTTGAAGATTGAAAACGATAAATTGAGCACCAAAATGGAAACCATACATGAAGATTTCCAGAAGATCCGTCAAGCCTTTCAAAACGCTGGCATAGGGAACACCCCAGAAGAGTGGATAGCAGGGGTCACCAAACTGAAAAAGAGTTGCAACATAAATGAAGATCTTGTCCAAAAACTTTTTGAACACAAATGTTATCTCACAAGGGAAAATGAGCAACTCTGAGAATTGACATAGGAGATGAAAAAACACCAGAATG